CCAGCGCCCTGGTTCTGACTGACTTCTCCAAGGCGTTCGACATGATAGACCACAATGTAGCCTTCAGGAAATTGAGCAAATTGGACATCCCCCTTGCATCCTTCAGTGGATTGTTGATTTTATCACTGAACGGAAACAAAGGGTATATTATAAAGGTATACACTCTGAATGGTTAAAGCTCACTGGAGGGGTACCACAGGGAACTATACTTGCAGTAGTTATTTTCCTTGTAATGATAAATGACTCGCTTGAAAACACTGCCTCACTAAATATCGAGGAGTGGAAATATGTAGATGATCAGTCACTTGGTGAATCCCTGAGGGTTGGAAACCCTAATAGACTACAGGAAGCCCTTGATGCCTTACAGCAATGGTCTGAAGAATCAAATTTCAAATTGAACCCTACCAAATGTTCAATCATCAGATTCTACTTTGGTCGTAAACATTTACCAGAATTGGATCTTCAAATTATGGGTCAGACCCTCCCTGAGACCCAAAGTGTAAAGTTACTGGGTGTTCTACTTGACCAAGATCTCAAATGGGAGAGCAATACCCAATCCATATGTAATAAAGCGAATCGTAAACTATTTATTCTTTGGTCACTAAAACGTGACGGTTTTAGCCAAGATGAATTAGTTGAAATTTACAAGAGCTATGTCCGCCCAGTGTTAGAATATGCTGCACCATTATGGCATCATGGTCTTACTGTAAAACTTACCAAAATGATTGAAAGAATCCAGATCAGAGTGTGCCGATGTATACTACAAAGTGATTATACTTCATATGATTCGGCCCTATCTGTTCTGAGTCTCGAGAGGCTCTCCACCCGTAGAGACACTCTCTGTAACCGCTTTGCTATCAAATCATCTGAATCTGATCTTTTTAAATCCTGGTTTCCAAAATCCTGTAATACTCACAATATGTCAAAAAGCAATAACTTTGCATACAAGGAATATAAGTGTAAAACAGAGAGGTTCTACTCCAGCCCTGTGCCATCTATGGTCAGGATCCTCAATAAAAATAAATAATCAAATAAAAGCTTGTAATCATAAAACCTATAGAGTGGAGAATATGGAAGAGGGAGGGGAAAGGAAAGAAAAAGGATAATAATTCATCTTTTTTTTCCCTTTCTCTGCTTTCTTTCTTTATGAACCCTTTCTTCCTCAGCACATGTCAGTAAAACCTCCCTTGTTTTGTGCTTTTTTGTTTTTTTATCTATGTCCTGATTATTTATGCTTGTTATGTTGTAATTTTTTAAATGTTTATGTCTTTCTGAATGTTCAATTCCTTAATTTGTACATATATTAAAATAATTTTATAAATAATTTGTACAGTAATTGAAATAACTAATAATTTTATAAATAATGTATTTTTAACGTTTTCGCAATTCAGTTCTGTGAACTGCCAGAAATGTTTTTTTAATGTATTTTGACTTTGTTTATGAATAAAAGATACCTTGATATATATTTTCTGTCGCTTTAAATTTCTTTCCTGTTCTTCTTACTTCCTATGCTTCTTCCGTTTTTTTTTTCCATCCAGAGCTTGATATTCTTTAAAAAAAATCTCATTTGAGAGGGGCCTACGAGTTCAAGTAACCCTGTCGAACAACTTAGCCCCGTCCCCAGAAAATATATCCTAGAGCCGCCACTGTTGCATCATTAGTAGAATCTCAGATCGATTAAATAAGCCTTTGAAACCCCTAAATTGTCAAAATTTACGCGATTTTTTCTTCCCGTACGAAACATCTGCATGAAACTTCACTCGGGCCGTCTCGAATCAAGGTAATTCAACAGAAGGACGCACATCTCCTCTCATAAACATAGCGCGTGCGTACACTCCTTTGATTTTTACTGTGGCATCGACAATCCGATACTAGTTGCGAGTACAGCCGTCAATTATTAGTCTATGCGTGCCATTCGTTTTATGGTTTTAGTTTTTATTTTATTAATTTTGGGTACTTCACAATATCTGTTACATCTCATTTTTTTTTACCGCGAGCTTGTTAAATGCTTCTATAAACTGAAATGTTATTTGTGAAAACTGACCAAGAAATTTAAAGTTATACAAATTTAAAATTTACGAATTTTATAAAATTTCATGTTCTTATGTAATATTATTCTGTCATTTTGACAATGTTGGCATAAGGTGCCGAAAACGAACATTTGAGTATATACAGAACATTTATTAATTTTTCTGCGAAGTGAGTCTCATGAACGACAATTCACCACAATTTTGGTAAAATTAATGTTGAAATGAAGAATATATTTCAGTCTAATGTAGTGCAAAATATCATTAGGCCTTTGTATTAACCGCATGACGTATGTATGTTTGTTATCAAATGTAATACAGTACTACCTACAACAACAACAGCTAGTACCACCACCAGTAGTATAGGTCAATTAAGGCTAGAGCAAAAGACCTAATTATAGACTGAGTTATGTCCTACCTATAGGCTCTCCCTAGACTATGGCCCTAGCTAAGCTAGGGTCCAGGGCCTGACACAACAGTCACACACTTCACATGACATTGACTGAAATTTTGAAAAAAAATTGAAAGAAATTTGAAACATGAAATTAAAATGGAACAGTGCGTAAGAAAAATATTAAATAATAAAATTAAATATATCATTCCGGCATTTATGAACTTGGCCTAAACCTTGTAATGTAATTAATATTAAATAATAATAATAATAATAATAATAACGATTAATAATAACGATTAATAATAACGATTAATAATAATAAATAAATAAATAACAATAATAATAATAATAATAATAATAATAATAATAATGATAATAATAATAATAAAAATATATAATTTCATCATTAATTAACTTGGCTTAAGCCTTGTAATCAAAAAGCACTTACAGTACAATACTATTTACTAGGCCTATAATTAACAACTAGGCACATTCATTCATTGGTGCTCTGATATTTTGGCAGGTCCTATGATGTCATCCTTATTTTAGAGCTGTCTATTTTCAGCTTTTATTTTAAAGTCAAAATAACTGTCACCCTGTTTCATTTGATCAATTAAATGCTCTTCTTTTCCTTCCTCTCTGTGCTTCTCTCTGAAAGCTGCATTCTAAAACTTTTTTGAGTTAGTGATCACATTGTACATGACCAATTCAAACACCCTACCTATGCATAATTTTTAGTAGTTCTAGGCCTGGTACTTATAATTATCCAAAAGCTAGGCCAACTAAAAAACAAAAATGTTCCCATGTAATTCAAGTTCAAATAACAATTGTATTATTCGTGCAGCTAAATCATATATTACATTTGTCATTTTAAAACGACCCATTTAGCATGGAACGTCAGTTGCTTTTTTTTTTTGTCTTTCGTGGGTGTAGCCCACCTTTATTCTCCCCCTTTTTTCAATGTTTTAATTTTTTTCACTAACTCTTGTTAAGGTTCAATAAACATTATGTTCAGGATTTACATGAAAGTAAAGCAAAAACAAATAATAAAAACTTCACGTGTCTACCACGAAGTACACTATCACATGAAATTCCTATAAACAATTATTATTTTGATAAATTTTTACCTATTATTGTTTGATGTTTTTTTTTCTATAATTGAACAATTATAACTTTGAATAATATAATTGATTATGGTTCCTATTATATATTATAATATCATTGAATACATGTAGGATATACCTATATAAAGTATTAAGATTCAGAAATATAAAACATTTCATGACTTGTTAATAAAATACATTATAAGGTAAAATAAGATAAGAGACAGTACACATACACGCAAACATACATATACACCCGTATAGATAGTTTACCATATCAGTCTTATATAGTAGTAATATTAATAATAATAATAATAATAATAATAATAATAATAATAATAATAATAATAATAATAATAATAATAATAATAATAATAATAATAATGTTGAGAAGTTGTTTTTATAACGTCAATTGCTTAACAATAGTCTGAAAGCTTCAAAGGAGCTTTCTTTGTTTTTGTGGTAACTTTGATCAGTAGGGTAAGGATGCTTTGATCTTTAGTTTATTAATAACTATGTCATCTACTAAACGTTTTGATTGGTCAAACACTTTTGGTACTTGTGCATATAAGCTTCCAAATATGGATAATTTTTCATTCCTGATGATGACATAATTAATATCAAAATATTGAATCCCGACTGGCGTGCATTTCGATACTTGGAGTACTTGATATTATACTATTTCAACGTCAATGTGTTCTTCAAAATCAGACAGCGAGCGTGCTGTATCTCAGAAGTTTTGTAGACGTTTATCTTTGGGTGATGACCTTTTGACCTCCAGAATTGAGATTTTCGGGTCGAATCAATCGAGACAACCCGAGTAGAGTTTCATGCAAATGTTCCGTACGGAAAAAAATCGCCCCATGAACACTTTCAAAACCTTTTAATCGAAGCTTGACCCCGCCCACTTTGGTTTCGTCGGGGAAATGTGGCCCCTCGTCGGGGGCATCGCCCTCCCCCATCCCCGTCGAGGACCTTGGCCCCGTCGGGACCCTGGCGCCACCCCTGATTGTTATTTAATACATTAGCCTACTTTATACAATACAAATTGCAATACAGATTTTAGAAAGTTAATATATTTAATTTAATTAAATATTATATTCTGTTCCCCTTCTTTTTTTAGTGATAGCGGCAATTTCCAGCAGTTGTTGTAATAAAAGTTGTAATTTCAATTTAATAGGCTCATTTTCTCTTTCAGTAAGATAATTTGTTCATGGGATTATATATGTTGGAAAATCCACAGACTAAGTACAGTATTGTAGTACCAGTAGTATAGGCCATTGAATTGTTGTTTTTTTTTCTCTGTGATTACGGCCAAATTCCTACCGCTAAAGTAAGACCAACTGGGCCTATGTATTATTTCACTCTGTGCAGACCTCATTAATTGATAATGTTCAAGGGATCATAATTTTGGAAAGAAAATTACACAGGGACAACTTATTTTTTCTTACATTGGTTTTACCATGGAGTTGCTGTGTTTTGCTATGCTGTGCGATAAAAGACAGGGCCTACTCAATGACGAACTATAACTGAAAGACGAACTATAGCTGAAATTATGCATGACGATCAACATATGAAGCCACGCCCCTCGGCTGAATCAGTTGTATTTAGCAACCTTGTGGGATAGTTACCACAAGTTGTGTCATCTATATTTATGGGGGCGCTCTCGGTAACTTATTACATAGATTTGGGAACTTAACAGATGGCATGCATTAAAAATTGCTTCGGGTCTGAAATTATTTCAAGCATTAAATCTAATCTTTCTATAATAATTTTTCGCTAGGTATGCGCAGCTCTACTAATTGCTTATTAGTAATCAGACGGGGATAGGAAAACTCAGTGCAAATGAAAGTGATGACCTCACTAAGCTACTACTGCAAA